GGCTTCAAGTACGAGATCTATGTGGCCCCTGACCATAAGTACGGGAGCCAACAGGCTGACGGGGTCTGGAACGGACTGATCGGAGAGCTGGTCGCCAAGGTGAGAGACTGTGGCTGTCCCAAATGGCAGCCTACTCCCTATATAGTGCACTACTTTTGACCAGAGCCCTATGTGCTGCAGTGTTATGTCCAAATGGAATGAACTAACAATAACACATAGAATAATCCCAGGAATAATCCCAGTTTATTGGGATGAATATGATTTCAGAGCTATTTCATTAATTGTCTGTGTTCATCAATGTACAAAACCTTCCTTGCAGGAAACCCTCCTCCATCAATCCATCTATCCATCCATCCACCTTCATCACCTCAACCAAAAGCGGTCTACTTTACGAGGAGGAGGAGCAGTGTATACAAAACGTAATACACTCATCCGTACACAACGCTCTATAGTCTCTTATCAGAGGAAAGCAATTACAAACATGCAGCGATTAGGAATAACTGGCTTGGTAAACTGGCTTCTTTTTTTAGAGTTGGCATAGCTTCTATCCACAGTGTTGTTAGCTATTCACCCTGCCAGGGCCAATTGTGGAATTAAAGTATGTCTAACAGCCAGACAAAAAGGCAAAGCTGTAAACACCTGGAAGTCACTAGACCATTTTCAGGACCATTACCCATCACCCCTTGCCGTTTTCCCTTTTTCCGACTCTTTTCAATTCCTAAAGCCATTCCACACTGATTTACTGCCGCTTCCAGTTTTCTTCCTTAAATGAGCACCTCTGGGAATATGCCTGTGTGTAAGAGTTAGTGCTTATCTTCCAGGCCAATGGGAAAAATATACTTTAAATATCATTTTTGTCATATTACCTTTGCCTCTATTCCTTTAGCCATATTGTGTTTTTTATTTCCTATAACACAATCACGGCATGAAATGATTATCCATAAGACATTTTGAAGTGTGTCTGGAATGATACAGAGGATATAGGTACATTGTTATTCATTCTTTAAGGATATTTATTTATTTGATTTAGATCAGCTTCAATATTGCAGATAGATTGTGGCTTCCATCAATGTAATTGTCTGCATAATTTCCAATCCCCCATATATATTGTTTTGTATATATATACACAAAATATATATTTATACATATATTTTACTTTATTATTTTCATACATACAGACTTGAAAATCACTGGCCACTTTAATAAATGGAACACTAGTCACTTATAATAATGGCACTTTAATAATGTTTACATATCTTGCATTACTCGTCTCATATGTATATACTGTAATCTATACTATCGTAATAATGGTTACATATCTTGCATTACCCATCTCATATGTACAGTGGGGAGAACAAGTATTTGATACACTGCCGATTTTGCAGGTTTTCCTACTTAGAAAGCATGTAGAGGTCTGTAATTTTGATCATAGGTACACTTCAACTGTGAGAGACGGAATCTAAAACAAAAATCCAGAAAATCACATTGTATGCTTTTTAAGTAATTAATTTGCATTTTATTGCATGACATAAGTATTTGATACATCAGAAAAGCAGAACTTAATATTTGGTACAGAAACCTGTTTGCAACTGTTACGAACCCTGTGGCTTTAAACGTCTAGGGTGGATGGACAAGAGACCCGTAACATAATTCATGTAAATTAGTATCGTGACATGAAACAGTGAGAACAAAAACTACACGACAACCATAAACTACCGTCAAACATAAAAGGTTTATTTTTGAACACACGGTAAAGGTTTGGGAAAAAGGGCTGAGCAGGACCCAAGAAATGAAACAATAGTGTAAAAAAAAACTAAACTGATCTTGCCTGCCTCAAGAACCGCTAAGCTACTGCTAATCATACAAAAATTACAGTGGGTGGTCCGCTCAGGTCTAACTAGTGTTTTTAGACAGTTTTCTTCCTACGAATAATGTATGCCCAAGGGCAACTTGCTTAAATTCCCCTTTTCCCAGAAACACACAACAAAGTTACCAAACAGAGTAACCAGCAAATGAGTGAGTACACAAAACACAGGACACCACAGTATCCATACTCACATACGGAAATAGTCTAACAAAGTTACCAAACAGAGTAACCAGCAAATGAGTGAGTGCACAAAACACAGGACACCACAGTATCCATACTCACATACGGAAAATAGTCTCTAACAACAAACACAACTGACCGGCTTTTAAACAATGGGATGTGTGATTGACAAACCAGAAACAGGTGGTGCAATGCAGAGGAATGTCCACTGATTGGTCCAACTCAGCAATCAGCAGACACCCCAACGACCACCAATCAGGAACATACAGGACACCTGTGATTAGGGCAGAAGGAGAGGAAAAACACAAAAAGACACAGGATACCTGTATCCGTAACAGCAACTACAGAGATCATACGTTTCCTGTAGGCCCACTCCTCCATACAGACCTTCTCCAGATCCTTCAGGTTTCTGGGCTGTCGCTGGGCAATACAGACTTTCAGCTCCCTCCAAAGATTTTCTATTGGGTTCAGGTCTGGAGACTGGCTAGGCCACTCCAGGACCTTGAGATGCTTCTTACGGAGCCACTCCTTAGTTGCCCTGGCTGTGTGTTTCGGGTTGTCAGGCTGGAAGACTCAGCCACAACCCATCTTCAATGCTCTTACTGAGGGAAGGAGGTTGTTGGCCAAGATCTCGCGATACATGGCCCCATCCATCCTCCCCTCAATACGGTGCAGTCGTCCTGTCCCCTTTGCAGAAAAGCATCCCCAAAGAATGACGTTTCCACCTCCATGCTTCACAGTTGGGATGGTGTTCTTGGGGTTGTACTCATCCTTCTTCTTCCTCCAAACACAGCGAGTGGAGTTTAGACCAAAAAGCTCTATTTTTGTCTCATCAGACCACATGACCTTCTCCCATTCCTCCTCTGGATCATCCAGATGGTCATTGGCAAACTTCAGACGAGCCTGGACATGCGCTGGCTTGAGCAGGGGGACCTTGCGTGCGCTGCAGGATTTTAATCCATGACGGCGTAGTGTGTTACTAATGGTTTTCTTTGAGACTGTGGTCCCAGCTCTCTTCAGGTCATTGACCAGGTCTTGCCGTGTAGTTCTGGGCTGATCCATCACCTTCCTCATGATCATTGATGCCCCACGAGGTGAGATCTTGCATGGAGCCCCAGACCCAGGGTGATTGACCGTCATCTTGAACTTCTTCCATTTTCTAATAATTGCGCCAACAGTTGTTGCCTTCTCACCAAGCTGCTTGCCTATTGGCCTGTAGCCCATCCCAGCCTTGTGCAGGTCTACAATTTTATCCCTGATGTCCTTACACAGCTCTCTGGTCTTGGCCATTGTGGAGAGGTTGGAGTCTGTTTGATTGAGTGTGTGGACAGGTGTCTTTTATACAGATAATGAGTTCAAACAGGTGCAGTTAATACAGGTAATGAGTGGAGAACAGGAGGGCTTCTTAAAGAAAAACTAACAGGTCTGTGAGAGCCGGAATTCTTACTGGTTGGTAGGTGATCAAATACTTATGTCACGCAATAAAATGCAAATTAATTACTTAAAAATCATACAGTGTGATTTTCTGGATTTTTGTTTTAGATTCCGTCTCTCACAGTTGAAGTGTATCTATGATAACAATTACAGACCTCTACATGCTTTGTAAGTAGGAAAACCTGCAAAATTGGCAGTGTATCAAATACTTGTTCTCCCCACTGTACATACTGTATTCTATACTATTCATTGCATCTTAGCCTATGCTGCTCTAACAATGACATTTCTCATCCATATATTTATATATTCTTGTTCCATTCCTTTACTTAGATTTGTGTGTATTAGATATTTGTTGTGTAACTGTTAGATATTACTTGCTAGATATTACTGCACTGTCGGAACTAGAAGCACAATCATTTCGCTACACTCGCAATAACATCTGCTAACCATGTGTATGTGACCAATACATTTGATTTGATATGATTAGATTTTTGTACACTCAGTGTATATAGTATTTGCACACATTGTCTTATAATAATAAGACACAACATGTGGGAGGAAATTAGCTTAGCCTTAGTGGGTTTATACCTGACCCTGGCCTGCATAAACACACACACACACACACACACACACACACACACACACACACACACACACACACACACACACACACACACACACACACACACACACACACACACTCACACACACACACACGTATATCGTGAGGTTATCAGTTATGGTAGGCCCTTGACAGGTTTGAACAACACACTTTTCAGTGGACCAACATGTGTATTCTAATTCAGACTCTCTGATTGGCTTAGTGGCCTTACTGACCTATCGAGGTACCGTCATCCTCTGGTTTCTTCCAAAAAACTATTTATTGAAGATGAGTGAACTCCTCCTAAACTCACACTATGACTCACAGCCATATTAATCTCCGTAACCTCTGCTTCGCATCAATACAATAGACTCTCACACAGGAAATAGCAATCCCTCAATTTACTAATGCAATATCCAGGTAATTAACATGGTTTTGTCTTTTTCCCTTTCTATCTCATCTGAGAAGTGTGTCAATATTAATCAGATAGCGAGTGTGGAGTCGATGTTCCTGTTTTGACAACAGAAAGGACAGGAGGACTGTGATCATCATCAGCGACAGAGTAGCCATGACAGAAAACAGATGTGATTCTATTGATGTGTGCATTAATTGAATGAATATCTAAAAACAGAACTCAAAGCAAAGTTTAATTACTCATACTCCTCCACCTTCGAACAGAACCTATTGGATACTGTGATTTCTGATGTGTGTGTTCACAGAATCCCCTCATTTTCTTGAATTCTATACACCATGAATCTTGCCATTAATGAATCTGTGTGTGTGTGTGTGTGTTTATGCTTGTTTGCGTGTGTGTGCGTGTCCGTGCGCATGTTTGTTTTCCAGCGTGCTGACATGGGTCTCTCGGCTCTCACCATCACCCCAGAGCGGGAGAGTGTGGTAGACTTCACCACGCGCTACATGGACTACTCGGTGGGCGTGCTGCTCAGGAAGGCTGAACGCACCGTGAACATGTTCGCCTGCCTGGCGCCCTTTGACCTATCGCTATGGGCATGCATCGCGGGCACGGTGCTACTGGTGGGCATCCTGGTCTACCTGCTCAACTGGCTCAACCCGCCGCGCCTGCCCATGGGCTCCGTTTCCTCCACCACCCTCTACAACTCCATGTGGTTCGTCTATGGCTCATTCGTCCAGCAGGGTGAGTTGATTTCCTTTTAAATGTATTTTTGTCACCGGAGCTGTGTTATGTACCCTGTATTATCCCTGTTTTTAATTGTTTACTTGTTGTAAAAAAAAAAATTTGAGTAGGGCAAGGGGACGGGTTTATGTTGAAGAGAATGAGAGAGAAAGTGAAATAGGTGGGAGAAGAGAGAGAGAAGTGATGGATGTGGAGAGGGAACGAGAGACAAAAACCAAGGGTGATGGTGGTCTTTCAGCGTTCTTTCACAGGTCAGGCTGAAATCCATTTCTCTGGATTTGAGGAAAAGAGGGGTGAGGGGGACCTTAGGGAAAATAGGAGAACGGAAGAAAGCAAAGAAAAAGCAAAGAGCGATAATGGCATTGACTAAGAGAGCTGTGTGTGAGTTATTTTTCTATCTTCCAGAGTACGATTTGTATTTGTTATTATGCTCAAGGACTCAGAATAGTAAATTTTGGGCCACATTAATTATGCAAATTCTTAGAATGATTTTAGCGTTGGTGGAATATTTTATTTTGAATGAGCCGCAGATGAGCTCACAGCAAAACAAGTAAACTCTCATGCTACATTTTACTAATGCCGGTAATGATACATGCTAATTGTTCCCTTTTATTCACAATCAATCTTCTTTTAGTTGTAATTACACTTTAATCATCTAGTCATTATCAAATGATTAGTAAAACAATTCTCACCTCAGTATCAATAACGAGGAAAACTACATGAGCTTGATGCAGGAGAACCTTCGACGCCTTGGTCAATTGTGGCTGATTATGCGTTGAATAGACATCAACATCACAAGGCTCTTGAACAGATCATGCGTAAACACACACATAGGCTGCATTTACACAGGCAGTGTGTAAACTCTGATATTTTTTCACTAATTGGTCTATTGACAAATCAGATCAGCTTTGAAAAAGATTTGCTGTGAAAAGATCTGATGTGATTGGTCAAAAGACCAACTAGTGGAAAAAATATCATATTGGACTGCCTGTATAAACGCAGCCATAGAGACACACAGACACAGACACAGACACAGACACAAAGACAGAGACACAGATACACATACAGACACACACACACACACACACATACACGCCATGCTGGAGGGGATGCTGTTATTGAAATACTCTGTCCCAAACCTCTTCAGTATCCTGACACATTGTGTGCATCCCAAATAACACCCTATTCTCTATATACAGTATTTAGTGCACTACTTTTGACCAGGGCTCATAGGGCTCTGGTCAAAATGTGTGCACTATATAGGGAATAGGGTGCCATTTGGGACTCAGCCATTGTCCTCAGGGGTGAATTGATTTGGAGGTCCTCAGGACACAACAACATCCCAGATAGAGTCTGCAGATGGGCGATTCCACGCCAGCAGGAGCTACAAATATTTTTTTGTATCTCAGATTGTTCTGGCAATTCTCTCATAGAAACTTCATTGAGAAAAAGGATGTTTGACATGCTTTTTACCTTTTTAGACCTATACGTGCCTTCTGTAAGACCCTATTATCTGTGAACCGTATATGATACAGACAACATATTGGTGTCATTATACTCCTTATAGTGTGCACTAACATATGGAGTATGTCTAGATTCAGAAATACACATTTTCATATTAATTTATTCAACATTATAAAAATGTATATGACTATCTCAAAACTACCCTTTTTGATTTTGTTGGTAGAGCATGGCGCTTGGAACGCCAGGGTTGTGGGTTCGTTTCCCACGGGGGGCCAGTATGAAAAAAGTATGCACTCACTTAACTGTAAGTCGCTCTGGATAAGTGCGTCTGCTAAATGAATGAAATGTAAAATGTAAATGTAAGACATATTGTTGGGAACAATATACTCTACAAGTACATCCAATTTCAAGAGTGGGCTCTGCTAATTCTGAAGTTCTGATTAATTTTGAGCACCACCAACACAGTGAATGTTGCTGAATGTGCAATCCTAAAGGAGGAATGTGATTGGTTAATGACCTTTAACGCCAATTTCTATCAGTGGAGGCTCCTCAAAGGAGGAAAAGGAGGACCATCCTCCTCAGTGAATTTCATAAAAATAAAAATAGTGAAACATTAAAAAAGTTATCCTTTTTAGATAAAACTATACTAAATATATTCACCTTACCAAATCATTGATTAAAACACACTGTTTTGCAATTAAAGTATACAGTAGCCTCAACAGCACTCTGTAGGGTAGCACCATGGTGTAGCCGGAAGACAGCTAGTTTCCGTCCTCCTTGGGGTACATTGACTTCAATACAAAACCTAGGAGGCTCGTGGTTCTCACCCTCTTCCATAGACTTACACAGTATGTATGACAACTTCCGGAGGACGTCCTCCAACCTATCAGAGCTCTTGCAGCATGAACTGAGATGTTATCCACCCAATCAAAGGATCAGAGAATGAATCTAGTACTGAAAGCATAAGCTACAGGTAGCTAGCATTGCAGTTAATAAAATGTGGTGAGTAGTTGACTCAAAGAGAAAGACAATAGTTGAACAGTTTTGAACAAATATATTTCTTTAAAAATGAAGGCAAAGATAGAGAGAGAGAGAGAGATTTTTCATAGTATTTAAAAAAAAAAAGTTCACTTAGCTAGCGAATGTGGCTAGCTAGTTTAGCCTACTCAAACACCTGGCTCAAACAGAGAGGGATGCTAGGTAAAGATGCGAGAAGGAATTATACAATGAGCAAAATGATCATGCTGTTTGTACGTGGCTGCTATGAAAGTGAACTGTGTTTGCGTGTGATCAGGGGCAATGTTCCCCCAAATTTTTTTGGGAGTTGAGCACAAACTTGAACGTTGTGAAAAGTCTGTGCAACTTCCGGCATGCGTTTACTGTGAACACTGAGGCTGTACCTGTTTTAATTTACTGTTTTAACAGTGGCCAAGTAGGCTCCTGTGGCTATTTGATCATAGTGTATGCCTACCAGAGTGGCCTACCATAAAAAACTGTGGAGAAAATGCATCGCATAACGTTTTAACATGGAAATAGTGGTTCTATCATTCAGCCTACTGTAGCAGCCAATGTGTGGTGTTCAATGTAGGCCTACATTCCATGAGACTTTTGAAAAAAACATACAGGGCTTGACATTAATCTGTTTATCCACTTGTCCTTCAGACAAGGATGTGACTGAACATTTTGTTGTGTTGTTTGTTGCAAGAAACCACTTTACAAAATAAATTGCATTATTGTTCCCATACTATTATTACAGAGAATCCGACAAATTATGCTACCCTCTGCCTTTTGGCTACTAAGCTTATTCAAGCCTGTCTCAAAATACAACACTGCTCCTTTAAGACATAAAACAAAGCTCTTTACCTGACTCACTTTTCAAAGGCTAGAAATGTACACGTTTTGTGCTCTTGTAGGAAGCATTTACTCCCACATTGGTGACTACAAATTAGGTATAACTGGCATTGGTGGAAAAAGTACCCAATTTTCATACTTGAGTTAAAGTAAAGATACCTTAATAGAAAATTACTCAAGTAAAAGTGTAAAAGTAATTGGTTTTAAATATACTTAAGTATCAAAAGTAAATGTAATTGCTTCAGAAACATACAGTGCATTCAGAAAGTATTCAGACCCCTTAACTTTTTCTACATTTTGTTATGGTACAGCCTTATTCTAAAATGGATAAAAACAATTAAAAATAAACTCATCAATCTACACACAATCCCCCAAAATAACAAAGTGAAAAAAAGGTTTTTCGAAATTTTTGCAAATGTATTAAAAATACTAAACAGAAATACCTTATTTACATAGGTATTCAGACCCTTTGTTATGAGACTCGAAATTGAGCTCAGGTGCACCCTGTTTCCAATGATCATCCTTGAGATGTTTCTACAACTTGATTGGAGTCCACCTGTGGTAAATTCAATTGATTGGACATGATTTGGAAAGGCACACACCTGTCTATACTAAGGTCCCACAGTTGACAGTGCATGTCAGATAAAAAACCAAGCCATGAGGTCGAAGGAATTGTCCGTAGAGCTCCGAGACAGGATTGTGTCGAAGCACAAATCTGGGGAAGGGTACCAAAAAATTTCTGCAGCATTGAAGGTTCCCAAGAACACAGTGGCCTCCATCATTCTTAAATGGAAGAAGTTTGGAACCACCAAAACTCTTCCTAGAGCTGGCTGCCCAGCTAAACTGAGCAATCGGGGGAGAAGGGCCTTGGTTAGGGAGGTGACCAAGAACCTGATGGTCACTCTGACAGAGCTCCAGAGTTCCTCTGTGGAGATGGGAGAACCTTGCATAAGGACAGCCATCTCTGCAGCACTCCACCAAGCAGGCCTTAATGGTAGAGTTGCCATACGGAAGCCACTCCTCAGTAAAAGGCACATGACAGCCCGCTTTGAGTTTGCCAAAAGGCAGCTAAAGGACTCCATGAGAAACAAGATTCTCTGGTTTGATGAAACCAAGATTGAACTCCTTCGCCTGAATGCCAAGCGTCAAGTCTGGAGGAAACCTGGCACCATCCCTACGGTGAAACATGTTGGTGGCAGCATCAAGCTGTGGGGATGTTTTTCAGTGGCAGGGACTTGGAAACTAGTCAGGATCGAGGGAAAGATGAACGGAGCAAAGTACAGAGAGATCCTTGATGAAAACTTGCTCCAGAACACTCAGGACCTCCGACTGGGGTGAAGGTTCACCTTCCAACAGGACAACGACCTTAAACACACAGCCAAGACAACGCAGGAGTGGATTCTGGAAAGGTCTCTGAATGTCCTTGAGTGGCCCAACCAAAGGCCGGACTTGAACCCGATCTAACATCTCTGGAGAGACCTTAAAATAGCTGTGCAGTGATACTCCCCATCCAATCTGACAGAGCTTGAGAGGATCTGTAGAGAAGAATGGGAGAAACTCCCCAAATAAAGGTGTGCCAAGCTTGCAGTGTCATACCCAAGAAGACTCAAGCCTGTATTCGCTGCCAACGGTGCTTCAACAAAGTACTGAGTAAAGGGTCTGAATACTTATGTAAATGTGATATTTCCGTTTTTTATTTTTAATA